GGGCCGACGCGAAGAGGCGACGCGGCGACTACGAGCATGAGGACGACTTCGATCAGCGGTCGTAAGGATCCAACTATCGAGATCGACCAAGGGCCGACAAACCGCGACTCATACTGTCCACGTTCAACGGATCCGATCCTGAGGCTTGGCTCAGTCGTGCTGTTCAGTACTTCGATCTCAACGAAATCGATGGCCATGATCGAGTAAGGTACGCAGCATACTATCTAGATGGTGAGGCCAACGTGTGGTGGCAATGGCTTACAAGCGTCTACCGCAACCGACAGCCAATCATCACATGAGGCGATTTTGAGCGGGAGTTACTCACACGCTTTGGTACATCCAACTACCAAAACAAAATAGAAAAAAGAAAAAAAAAAACACCCAAAACAAAATGAAGCTACAACCTTATCATCATGTAATGAACCAAAAGCCCAAAATTTAAACTCAAAGTGAAAATAGGCAATAAACTAGATTTTAATGTAATATTTTTAATCTTTAATTGTTATTGTTATTATTTATTACTTTACTTATTTATTGTTAATGTTAGTCATCTCAAATCGAAGGTCCAAAATGAGCATGTACATGTACAATACAAACATGTTAACATATTTGTTAAAAAAAAACATATTTGGTGCGATTCGGTTAAAACTGCACCCTTCGGACAAAAACCGAACCGCACCAAAATTTGTGCGGTTTTTCAAAATTTTAACTGCACCGAAACCAATCCCTTGAAAAAACCTATCCGAACCACATCGAATATATCGGTTCGGTTCGATTTTTCAATTTCGGCTCGGTTTTGCTCACCCCTAGTTCTAGGCCACCGTGTGGTGTGGACCAATCTCGATTTCGAGCGTGTCATCCTTGCACAGGGGCCATGTTAATCTTCTCTGTATCGTTCCATTGTTAACGGGTATCTCCGAGGAGACTCCACCGTGTGGTGTGGCTCTCTAGTTCTTTGTAGAATTGAGCGCTTGTATTTTTGTACATTTCGGATATATAAATTTTCCTACCATTTCGAAAAAAAAAAAAAAAAACCACACTCTACGAATCTGTTTAAAAATTTGTCAGCAAGAAGTAAACATCATACTCCACTTCAGCAAAGACCCAGAAAGATGATAGAACTATTTCGTATTGCATTGCCTTAGATCAACACTTTTCCATTTACAGGAAAACAAAATGACAAACATTAAAATGTTTCCAAAATTCAAGTCGATTGGGGACCAGTCATAATCCAGTACATTTTTCTATTGCGGAATCAGAATTTATCCAAGTCAATCACAACTCCTTTAGAACATATGCACCTTACCTTTACTAAGAGAGAACAAAGAGTCAAAGAAAATCTAATCAATGAAAGAGAGAAGAAAAACCTTCCCTTTGGCACTTTTGATTATATATATCACCCAACTTGAACTACAGCACTTGATTCCTATTTCTTCCTAATGGCTAAAAGGTGACAAATTGCATTCTCATTCAACGTTTCATACACCAATGCTTACTCAAATTTTAACGCATGTTACAAAACACACAAATCCCATTGGATTATGATGCCCGCAAAAAGGTATTCAAATTCAAACGAAAAAATCAAATTTCGATAAAGTGGCGCGCTCTGCTTTACCAAGGAAAGACAGCAGAATTAAAGATCACGTTTATCAATGTCGACTCGTAATTAATAAGTCTGATTTGAATTTCGAAATCAAAAACAAAAAGAAAAAAGGACATACAAAATTTAATACTACTGCATTAGTCAAAACGCACTGCAAATAATAGTAGTAGTAATAATAACCAGCCATTAATAAAGAAGAGTTAACATTTAGATTTGATAGTTCAGAACCCACTAATCAAACGCCCAGACCATACGCAAAATGAAAGTTCCACCTAAAATTGTCCATCTACCACAAGTTTTTTTAATCTCCTAAATAAGAGAAAAAGGTCGGTCAAATCCGGGTTGATTAGGCACAAAACAAAAGCAACTAAGGACTAGATAGTAATTTAGAGATAGTTGTTGGAGTGCTTCAGTCAGATCGAGGGCTCTTATGCTGCCACGTCACCACCCTTCTTAGATGGGGTGCAGATGAGCCAGAGATTGCCGTAGGGGTCCTTCACCTTCCCCACGCGCCCACCACCAAACGCGCCTTCACCCTCAGAGACCTCGCCTTCAGCGACAGCGCCAGCAGCCACCGCTTTGGCGACGGCGGCTTCAACATCACCGGTCTCCAAGCAGAACACACTTCCGGTGACAGCAGATTTCACCCTAAAATTCAAATAAAAATAAAATCAATATGTTGGTGAAAGAGTTACTTTCAGAAATAGTTTTATTACTGGATAAGAAGAGTGGTTTTGATGTCCACGACAAATGCATGCATGACCTCACAAGTTATGGCTATCAGAAATCATCAAAGACTCCTGAACTAACGACGCCGTTACGAGAAGATTACTGCAACGAAATAACTTAACAGGAACTTGCAAAATATAAATAAAAATAAAAATCCCTGAGAAAAAACAACTACAAACTTGCACAAGGCTTTGAAAGAAACAGCAACTATGGGGCCAAAATAAGAAAAAGGGACCAGAGTACAGAGACATGACCAAATATTACAGAAATAAGTATCAACAATTCGAAGAGCAGTAGATAACACAAAAATAATTGGACTAAACAATCATCTACGGCCAATCTTAGCTACGCTGAGCATTATCACAGACTCAAAAAATAAAATATCGGCGAATACCTTAGAACAAATGAAAAGGAACATAATAAACAGCAAAAAAACTCAGATCTGAGCAAAATAACACCAATAGTCGAAGAGAAATATGCTTATGAAGAATCTTAAAAAAATAATCAGGTAAAACAAGTATCATCAACAAACAAAAAAGACAGAGAAACAGATGTACGAGAAAGAAGGTCATAGACTTACGGAGCAGAGTCGTCGTCAATGAGGTCGGAGACAACAATAGCAGAGGATCCGAGCTTGAGCTCAGCAGAGAGAACCAGAGGAATCTCCTGCTCCGCCTTCCTCTTGGGGTGATTCACGCGGCTGACCTCCTCAGCTCCGAACGCCGCCTTGTAGAACTGAACGGCGTCGTTTGCCTTCGGCGCCTCCACCACCAGCCACGGCTTGACCGCAGCAAAGGCCACCGCAGCTCCTTCCGAGCCGTTGTCAGCTCCAGCACCGTTTTGCAACTCTTGCGCCATTTCTCAATTGAGAGAGGGGTAAAGAAAACCTAAGAGAGAGAAACTCGGAAAAGTGAAAAAAGCTAGAGAGAGAGAGTAGTAGTAGCAGCAGCAATGGGTAAATGACAGATGAACGTGTGCAGAGTGGGGGCAGGAGACATTTATAGGAGGCGAGGAAGCGGAACCGTTTAGGGGCAATTATGGGATTAATTCTTTTGTTATTTTCGGAGAAGGCCCTTCCTTTTGTCCTTATTTATAATTTTACCTCCAGTAACTCCCCCATCATTTTCATCTTATTTACGGGCGTGACACTGCTTTATCTGCAACGGTAACACCACTCTATGTTGGGTGGTTTTGGACCGTTGATTATTCAATGGGCACATGAAAAGAGAACATCCCACCGTCAATCTGCATTTGACCTCAAATTTGCAGATTTTAATATTATATTTTTAGGTAGATGTCAAACAAATCTTCCTAGCTTTGGATAATGCCCTATTATTGTGGGATGAATAGTATTTTTTACAAAGCTAATAAATACTCCCTTCCTTTTAAATTGTTTGTCATTTTAGCATAAAAGAAAAAATGATGTATTTGAAGGAATTAGTTATCTTATCCTTAGTATTAAATTTTTCTAAATTTCTTCAATCTTATTTAAATACTCCCTCCGTTTTAGTATTAGATTTTTCTAAATCTCAATCTTATTTAAATGCTCCTTCCATTTTAAGATTGCGTTTGGATCCCATTGACTAAACCAAATTGACTAAAATTGAGTGACTAAATTTTAGTCACTCGTGTTTGGTTCATATGACTAAAAGTGGCTAAAGTGCATTAAATAAGGTGCAAAAAGACCAAAATACCCCTCGTTCACATATAGTACTCCAAATATCGTTCATGTAGTACATAAAATTTATTCATTACGAATACATCTCAAACTACGATCTAGCAAATAAACCATCGGCTATCCAATCCCGAAAGTGATTCATATCTTGATCTTCGTCCCCATAACGAGTACTAGTTCCATTTCCTTCATAAGTATGTGCACCTTCTTCGACAAGTGGAACGTAGTTCTCATCTTCATCACACATATCAAAGTCGTCATCTGGCATAGCACTGTCTCTAATAAAATTATGAAGCGCCATACATGCGATAATTATCTTGCTTTGCTTGTACATCGGATAACTTGGTACATATTTTAAAATCCTCCACTAGTTCTTTAACACTGCGAAAGACCGCTCGATGATATTACGAAGTGAAGAATGTGCGCAATTGAATACCTCTTTTTTTCCTCTTGGCATTGGCCCCTGTTGATACTCCGGAAGATGATACTTTGTACCCCTGTACGGTGCAAGATAACCCGGGCGGTTTGGGTACCCCGAGTCCACGAGATAAAACTTCCCTACATAACAAAATTTTCAAACGATCAGTTCCACAAAAAAAAAAAAAAAAAAATCCAATTATAGGTACAATAAAATCAAGGAACATATAAGTACCTGGCGGTGGATGTGGGAACTTGTCACCGTACTTGTCAATTGCATCCTTGAAAACCCTCATATCATGAACCGAGCCAGGCCATCCTGCAACGACAAATGTAAACCTCATATCGAAGTCACATATGGCCAACACGTTCTTAGTGGTGTAGCCCTTTCTTCCCGTATGTTGTACGACCTGGTTAGTTGGCACCTCAACACGTATATGTGTCCCATCTAGTGCTCCTATGCAGTTGTCGAAGTATGGAGAAAACCGGGCAGATTGCAATCTCGGATGCACTGTCCTAAATTCAGGGTCTACTGGCCTAATGATATCAGCTGCAAGTTTGTTAACACAACGCAATACTTTATCGAACTTCCTGCTGCATGTTTCTTTGGACCTGTAAAATCGATCCTCAGCCTGCCTCATACTCTGCGGACAACCACACATCCACAAAAAAAGACCTAATGCCTCCACAGATGACATCTTTTTTGTAGAAGTCAACCCATATGACTCAACAAGCACATTATGCAGCAGGTCAAACACATTCCTATGCATCCTAAAATTTTGGTAGCAATATGTCTTACTTCCTAGGCTCCTCATAACCCAGTTGTACCCAGATTCAGTGGGCACCCTATAATCTGATTTGTTCCAATATTTTTCATAGTGGTACATACCCATAACAGCAGCAGCTGCACCTATGTGCATCCTCCTCTTGCGTCGTTGAGTCACATATTGTTGAATCCATTGAACCTCTTCCCAATCATCTTCCTGTGTACACAAAAAATATTTGAACCAACAGCAACAGAAAATGAAATGAAAATATTTGTCACAAACTTAAATAACTCACAACATCAAACAATTATATATATCACAACATCACATAGTCAAATAGTTCACAGCAACACAAACACATGATACTAAAAGGTTCAGAACATATAAATTGTTGAAACAACAACAAACACATGATACTAAACAGTTCACATATACATCTAAATGATTCCAGCACTCCAGTCACGGCTGCATTTCTTCAACCAGGCCATCCTTCCTGCATTTGTCGTCAACTTGAGAAATACCGTTCGGTGGTATTTCTTTGCAAACAACATAGTAGCAACATAGAACTCCTCTGTCTCCTCAGTTGCTCCACATTCTTTCACTAGCTCCATACATCTCTCTATTTTCTCCTCCACTTGTTGCTCCTCCAATTGTTTCGCTTCTAATTTTCTCTTGGTAATGTGGTCTTGTATCTGTTTCGCGACATCAACATCTGTGTTATTAGCAGCTTGTATGGTGTCTATCAACCCTTTCATGCACTTGACCATTGCACTCTTATGTTTCTTGACTGGACTTGTGGCTGTATCAGTGGTGCTGCTCTTCCTCTTTCTACTGCTGCTACTTGATGGGCTCCTAAGGGTCCCATCATCACAATCATCACTTTCCCCAGGGATACAAGAAGACCTCCCATCAACTGTAGTACCATGGAACATCTCAGCAAGTTGGTCAAGGTAAGTAGGCATGAACCGTTTGAACTTCTTGCACTCCGAGTATTTTTTCTGAAATGAACAGATTACCAAGAAAGTTAATTAAGCATGAACAGACACACATTTGCTAATTACGCGAACAAATGAACCTACACGATGAGGTAATACCTTTGTGTGTTTGTCCCACCATTCGTCATCTGCTATGATAGCTCCATTTTCTCTTCGGCCTAGGCCTGTTTCACCGTCGGCCCATTTGAGCCACTGGTACATGGTCTTGCATTGGGAGAATCTATTTTTGAATTGCTTCGGTTCATGCCTGAGTTTAGTCTTCTCAAAATATTTCTGAGCTATCACCTTGTAAGCACTATTTTTCATCTGCCCGTTCGGGCAATTCCCTGCTCTAATTTGTTCAACAGCAAGATCACAGAAAATATGTGTGTTCTCTTCGGTCCAATTGGCCTTGTCAAACTGGGTCTAAAAAGATGGTAGTTGACATTCAG